GAAACCAATACCGTTAAAACATTCCAATCACATGATGAACTCCGGCGCTCTGGTTTATATTACCAAGCACCACGATGGTAATTTGGCTTCCCATGTGACTCCTTTATAGAAAGAGAATACTAGCCAGGCTGACACGAGCATGCATGTCTGCTTGAGTTGATTTCCTGTTGTAAATTAATAGAGTGGTATACTGGCTTACAAAGGTCCGTCTCTGAGCTCTTTGTGCTTTTCCACCATCTGTGTGGTTTCTGAATCTGCAAGCCGGTGGCTGCCCAAGACCCAGCCCTGGACTCTGACAAGTTCTTTCAGGCTAGTGCCACCGAGAGCCTCTAAGAGCCCATGGGAGCCACCCAGCCGGATCTCTGCCTCTACATTTCAGGGTGTGGACGCCAGGGCATTCACAACATTCCAGCGACAGAAGAGTTTCGGGAACACCTCACATTGGATCTGGGTGACTTAAACATAATCTCAAACAGGTATGTCTGAGATGTGGTTGTAACTGAGAAAGCTTAAGCCTAATTAATTTTATTCCACTTGACTTAAAGAAAGCATGTGAAAAAAGGGGATCTGAGGACATCTACAAACTGGTCTCCAAAAGCATGAATTTTACAGTATATTGGTCTGGTCGTGGCCGGAGGCTGGAGGTACTGACTCTGGTGTACTTAAGCCTTGCAGTGACTGGAGGGATTTATTTATTTATTCATTCATTCATTCATTCATTTATTCATTCATTTATTTATTTATTTATTTGAGGAAATAGAGAATTTGCTCTTTTAAAACCTGAATGAGGAAGATTAGCCCACCTTCAGCTTCAATTCAATCTAGTGCTCAACAGGCAACCTTCTGAATTAGACCTCTGAATCATCTTTACTATAGCATCTCTGTTGCATATTGATAAATGACATTCTGATTTATATATCTGCTTTTTATGAGTTTGGTTAATGTGAGTTGGTCCCCCAAATTGGCTCCTTATTTCAAGCTGAGCCTAGTTGAGCCTACAGAACATGATGACCCCCTCCCAACACATTGTCAGCCTGTGAGTGACTAGAAAGCCAGCTCTTCTGTAAATGAACACATTTACCTCACTGTATCCCTCAAAACACAACACACCTAATTCACCATCTTTCCATGTCAATAAGTATAGGATTCCATCATCATTTTTTTTTTATGATTGAATTCCTAGACATTGAATTGCTGAATCAAAGGATATGGTAATTTCAATATTTTTGCTACAGACTTCTGAATTGTCCCCCAGATACAGTATCCCCAAATGATGTTCTTCTTGGATACCCCAAATGGCCAGGAGATCATTGTCATAACCCTTCAAAGCCATCTGTTTTCTCAGAGATCTTGGCCATTAGAATATTCTTTCTAAAATTGTCACTTCATAACTTCTACCTACAGGTTCTTTCACAAAATATAACAAATGTTTTTGTGTGTCTAGGCTGCATATCCTCAGTTTCTCTAAAAGAACTTGAACATGATGGAGTCCAGTCCCCTCACCACCCTATTGTTTTCCTTCCAGCTTTCCAGTTTCTTTCTTAAAAACATGCTCCCCCCAGAATCCAGTCAGTCCACTACCAGTATTATTTTTGAGACATAAGATATTAGTGCAGCAAAAGTTTGTTATTTCTTTTAGCAGCTGCATCTCACGGTTGGCTCAGATGCTTCAGACGCCTTCACTCAATGCATTTCCCCTTCCTTTCGGATTTGAAGCTGTTGACATGAGATACGTGCCGGGAAAGCTGTGAGTTTACTACGCTGAGCTTATTTTCCCTTTGGTCAGTGCTGTTCACTCTGAGGGAAAGGGTCCTGAGCTCAGGACCAATATGCAGAGCCATTTCAAGAAGTCATACCTAAGCAGTGAATGAGAATGAGTTTTTCTTAGAAAGAAAGAAAGAAAAAAATAATCCACCTTTCTTGAGGAAATGAGCCATCGCAAGAGAGCTGGGAAGGTGTCTCACTCATCTTTGCCCCCGAGGATCTACTAATTTGTCTATTTACTGTAAGCTTAATCTAGAAAAATCTTGCTCTCGCTCACTCTCCTGCACCCTGTCCCTCAGCCCCTAACACCGATAGTCTCTCCACTTCCCACCCCGCCCTCTCTTCCCCCCAGCCCAGGACGCGAATCCACAGGGCTTTAAAGTTTAGGAATGATGTTATCGATACCCACAGGACAGACATTCGCGGGGACAGCTTTGGGAGGCCATGTGCTCGTCCCCCCTTAGAAGTGGGAGAAATCCCCGCGGCTGGGTGTTGTTCCAATGGTCTGTCCAGTGAGTGAGTCCCGTTTCCCCAAAGGCTGCCCCTCATTAGCATGAACGGGGGTGGGGGTGCGGAGAGGGGTGGGGGGAGAGAAAGAGCAAAAAGCCCAGGCTCAGTGTTAGAGCCTGGGAACCTTGTCTACAAAAATGACAGCTAGAGCTTTGTGGCTCCTCTGTTTGATCATTGGATCATCTCCCGAAGCCCCAGTGGCGGAGAGAAAAGGTAAGATTGCTGAGCTCTGGGAGAGGGGCTGGGATCCGGGGGGATGTGGGGGAAACTGGGGAGAGGGCGCAATGAAGAGCGGAACGAGAAAGGGGGTCAGAGTTTGCAAGAGGAGACACCGGGTCCGTGCTCGTGTTTGCAGGGAGCAAAACGTGTCCCCCAAGATTTTGTGTGTCTTGGCAGCCTTTTAGGAAAGAAGCCAGTTCGACTACTGAAATGATCTCGAGCGAACCCGGCAGGCTGGAGAAAACTTTGACCCGCGATCGCAGCGCTGCGTGCGCCCGCCGTGGCTGCGGGCGAAGGGAGCCGAAAATGGACACATCTCCCCTCTCATTGCAGCCCCAACGAATGGCCCTGCGACACCTGAGTCTTTAACACACGCGCACGCGCGCGCGCGCACACACACACACACACACACCATGCATGAAATGAAAATAACACACACACACACACACACACACACACACACACACACACCATGCATGAAAAGAAAATGTTACTGACAGAATGAAGAAATAAGGGATTGTTCTGCAGGGAGGTGTTTTTGTTTTGCTTTTTGGGGGATGTTCTGTTCGATTCACTATCTCTGGGAAAAATAGCTTCCGCACCTCACAGGGCAATTTACTTTGGGTTATTTTTCCACATGGAAATGGAATGACTTCAGTGGCATTTAACCCAAATATCGGACAATCTTTCCCATGACAACAGATGGCGATATCAATGGGGAAGCAGTTGTGAGGTCAACAGTTGACAGTCAGGAATTGGAGAGCCACCAGAACTTTATTCAGCTGTATATGGGACAATGTTGACCATGATGAGTCAGAATCAACCTCTCTGCAAAAACAGGAACTATATAACCAGCTATTATTGCTGGGTGAAAGCTGATTTTAAAGGAGATTGTCAGTTTGGCAAGATAAATCACTTTAAATGAAGTGTTGCAAGAGCTGCCAAGCTCTTCAATGCAAGAGGAGCGAAATGCTGAAAACCAGCCGTTAAAACAACAGAAAGAGAAAAGTCCAGACGGGTTCTCGTGCCTGTTTGGAGGGCACTGGGACCCAGGCGAACGCGGAGCTGGTACTGTGTAACTGGGCATGCATGCAAAGTTGCCCAGCTTCCAAGCTGGCTGAAGTGTGCTCACCAACCTGCCTTCAGAGCTGAGGAAAATCATGAATAATTTTAAAAATTTGTTTTCACGCCTTATCATTTAGGAGTTTTTTTCTCCATCATCAAAGGAGGGATCAAATGTAAGCGACGTGTGCGCTTTTATACTTAACCAGGGGCCTCTGCCTCCCAGGCACGCTTTAAAAAAACTTTCTTAGCTGTGGTTTAACAGTAAGGGGTGTCCAAGAGCCAGATAAAAATCCACCCACAAATGCTCGATTCTGCTGAGACCAAGATGACAATGTAAACATGGATGGGAAAACCAAATAGTTCTGTTGTCAGGGGCGCTTAAACAATTAGGAGAACCTGTAATATGAGACCTCTCCCCCTGGGGCTTGCTCTCGGTACTTTCTCAACAAATTGTATACAGCAAAAAGGCGGATGTTTACACACACACACGAAAGGGCAAAAAGAGTTTGTTATTTAACCAGAGTTGTCAGTTATCTTTAGTCCTAGCACAAACAGGTGGTTGCAATTTTAAAAGCTATAGATTTGAAAAGGTTCCTTAACAAAATGAAATGTTCCCACGTGGTGAGAGGATTTTTCTCAGTTGGCCTCATTCTTAAGAGGGCAAAACCCTTATCTGTCTCTCTTTGGGGCCTATGAAAGGGACCAGAAAGTGAGGCGTCCCACCCCTGAACGCCTTCCCCTCCCCTCGGTTCTCTTTTCTTCGCTTCCAGGTTCCCCGGTCTCCCCATCTCCCCTCTCGCAGGTGCTAGCTAAGTTTACATGGCCCCCCATCTCCCCTCCGCTCCCCTCCCATGGCCGTGTCTTCTTTCTCCCCATCAGCCTCCCGTCCCCTCCGCGGCTTCATCTCC